AAGAACGTGATTTTTATACTAGCCAATAAAAAAGAATTTATATAGAAAATTTTTAAATCTTTTAAAATAATATACCGCCTGTTTGTCTCATACATGTCTCACTAAAAAATAATTTCCTCATGAAAATTAAAATTGCTCAATAAAAACAAATGTGTTCCACATCCCATGAGACGTGAAATATGGAGAAGGGTCAAAGGGGGCTCGAGGTAAAAGGGACAGAGGGTCCCAGGCTGGTTTCCAAGCAACAGATATCATTAGGCGGGGGCGAGCAGGTGTATGCGAGTGTATAAAGGATTCACGTTCCTTCGTCGAGTGTTCCCGAGCAATTGTCAGACGTTATGGTGGCAGGATAGTGTGTGGCAGGCAGGCAGGGTGGCAGGCAGACAGGCTTGGAAAGTCGAGGGGCGCCGCAATGCAGGCAAGGGCGTTGTCAGGGGCGACCCTAGCGACCGTAAGCCCTGATTCGCAGCGAACGAACTTTGCGATTCGACCGTCAAATAATAGCCCCTGTCTATCGATCCCCGATTTCGGGCCGCTTTATCGTTTACCTGAACCACTGGCCACGCTGTTTCACACGAGCTTTCGTTCCAAGACTGGCTAGAAACGAACGAAACTTGTATTACAAGTTTAATGTAATTTTATGAGGTGTCTCGTTGTTACGTGTTTGATCTGTACTACTGGAAGCATTCATGGTTTACCTGAACCACTGTACAAATCATTGCATATAAACCAGTTCTCCGAAACTATTTCAAAATAAATGAAACTGGTATTGCAATTTTATTAGCTGAAATCTTGTTCTTACATACTTAATTTTTACTACTGAAAGCATTTATGGTTTACCTGAACCACTGCCCGTACCATTTCACATAAATCTCTTCTCTTAAACTATTCCAAAATAAATGAAACTTTCATTGCAATTTTATAAGGTAAAATCTGTCTGGCAAACGCTTGATTTGTACTACTGAAATTTACTGTTTATCTGGACCATTGACTACACCATTTCATACAAACCTTTACTCAAAATCTATTTTAGAACAAATGTAACTTGTATTCCAATGGACATTGATTTAAAATATCATAATTTCGATTGAAAATACTACGTGCATTAATGTTCCTTGAACCAAGCATGATTTGTATGCAAATAGAATTTGGTTTCTAATAAATGATTCGAAGGGTGGATTTGTGTGAAGGGAGAAGCTTGTCGTTCTTCACGATTCGTATTCTTCATATTGATCGTTCCGGTTATTGTGGAACTAAGTGTGCCCACTTTCGTTTGGCAGAAGTTGAAGCACCCTCGCGAGAAACTTTCGCGAATCTCTGGTTTTCAGTTACATATCGATGTATACGGCACAGTTTCCTATTTGTTTCATTATTACCAATAAGTAACACATACAGAAAATAAATTTAGTAAATTTCAGAACGTTGTAATTATGGTTTAAGGATGTATTGGCTATACAATCANACTCGTGTCTGGGCAGGTTCCTGAGACAATTAGTAATTGATTCTATGGATAGGTACTTTTTTTTACATGTAGCAACTTTTTTAATAGCCGCACTCTTGTATGCGGGGATGCCGATCGGCCGCAGTATCGTGTTTACATCCAATCAACTTAATTTCTGGCCGCCCGTTTCACGGGGTTTTACCTTGTTATTACCGGGTCGTGCCTCGATGGCTCCGTTAACCGATGCCTCCCCTCGCCCGATTAAACCAACGCTGAAACCGATCCCAACTGTTTTAACTTGCGTTTCACTCGAGAAACTGAATACTACTCTTCTCATATTGCATCGGTATCCTATTTGTCATTTATATAGAAAATGTAATTCTTTCGTTTAATCTAGAGAATAATTTACAAGTAAATGGATCCAGCAAAGCATGTCGAATACAGCGAATTGTTTATATTGAATATTGCTCGAAATGAAATTCTTTTATTTATCATGAAAAACGATTTCGAGTGAGCAAGCATGATGGACAGAGGGAGAATAAAATTCTCTTAGTTCTGAAGAATAATTTATAAATAAACAAGGGTAATGGACCGAGTAGATGGGTAGAAAAAAGAGATTGAACGATATTGAAACGGTAAACTGGGAAACTGATCTGGGTGGCTCATTGAAGGCAAGTGTCATAACCGTTAAAGTATCTCCTTGGAATTCCACTTCTATCGGAAAGCCATCGCCGGATCCATTAATCCATCATGGTCGTTCATCAATCCCTGACACACTATGCACCGTACGCTAATCTGTGTACACTGAAATCCTTTCAAACGGATGAACAGTAGAGAGGGAGGAAGACGTCTCGGAGCGAGTCAATCGGCGGTGAATGCATTGTGCGTGGCCAAGTCGAATCGATTTATGCTAATCGCTCACGGAGTCTCGTCCCTACTTCGGTCCCGCACGCTAATTTCTCGTTAACGACGATCGAGCCTGAGTCGTATACAGGGGCCTTTCGAGGGTTTCGGGTAATTCTAGCAAGAGGAGCCGGGCTAACGGTCGAAAACGCAGTCGACATATTAGCCGGTGACACGTTACCACCGACTCCACGTTCAACATGATTACAGTCTTGTCCTTGTCACCAGCCGGCGGCGCCTTGTCCCCTTTGATTAATTAAATGCCACTTCAGAAATTATACCCACGATCGATTTAATTAACCCGACGTTCCTCTCTCAGCTTCTTACCTATTTCCATAAAAATGATTTCCAAATGGATTTATAGATTTTCATGCAGTGGATTTAATTAAAAGTGCACTGATCTAATCAGTACGGAAAAATATAAGTATGATCAGCATTTAAAAAAATAATATAGTCCAATGCTAACGAAATGGAGTCAAGTATCGTTTGAGAGAAATCAATTGATACGTTAAGTGGTCTACTTTTTAAATCGAAAATATGATAGGTCGTTTTAAGTATATAATTCAGTATTGGATCTGAAAATCTGTTCGGAGTAACCGAGAATGTTTGTGCTTCCGTTTTCAGGTCGATTTGAAACCCCTCCGGGAGGCGACGATCGCCGTCCCGACGCCGAAGATCTCCGAGAAGCGTAAAGCTGAAGAGGCCGATGCCAGCAAGGACTTGAAAAAGGTGAGTCCTTCAAATATTCACGTTCAATTACGTCTCTGTAAAGAACTTCATAAAATTTTCTAGCCTCTTCAAATTGCGTAATCAATGTCGAATCTAGAAGAAAGACAACCACTCTTTAGTAAAAAAAAAATTTGGACTAAATTTCAAACAGAATTTCCTTTTCATTAATAATTCTGTATTATATAAATGATGATTAAAACGTAATTTAGTATATA